AGCCCTACCTTCCAGTAAGAACCTAAGGGTATAATAAATAAATAAGTAGTAATATTGTGCATACTCAAATCTGATAAATATATGTAGTAAAACATTAGCGTAGTATTTTTGACTGGGTTGATGTTGCATGAAAAAAAAGAAATGCAATTGTTGTGAATGATTTTGCAAAAGTGAAATAAGTGCGAAAACTGACAACACTGTAAAAAATCAGAAAATGTTTCACTTCAGCATATCACATCTGAAGCACTGCATAAAGTGTGATATTGAAGTAAGATATGTTTTAGATAAAAACACAAAGAACAGGCGATATTATTTTTCAATGTAGTTTCCACAACAATCTTCGTATTTGCATACAGTGTTACTATAAAGCCTGTCGTAAATCATCTCAGTAGTTCAACTGTATAAACACTAGTATGAAACTGAACCCTAAAAAAATTTAAGTTAAAATCTAATGGGAAAACAAGGTTTACACCTTTTTTGTTTTAGTTAAAAAGCCAAAGTTTTCATGAGAATAAGCATAAAAGACGGATGAATTCTGCTGCATTTTATTTTTTGAAAAGACCTTATGCATTGACACGCGTTTATTTTAGACATATCATTGAAATTAATGATCTTAACTTACACAGATATTTTATAAGTCATTTATTGAAATCAATACCCACTTGATGACACTGGCATTTGAAACGATTGGTGATGGGTTCTAGTTTCAGTGAAAACTCCATCACTCACTGGGGAATGTAGGCACACCCAGCTGACAAGTCCCAAATAGAACCAAATTCACCTTCTAGATTCCACTGATAGTCACCATCCACCAGATAACATCAGTGTTAATCCTCATACAGAGTTGAAACGTCCGAACAAGTAGGAGAAATGACAGCAGAAGCCTAGCACTTCGGTTGAATCAATCAATGAGAAGAACAAAACTTTACTTAAACAAAGTAATAACTTTTCCCCGTTGCACAAGAAGTGGCTTTCACGGCCCAAGGGGTCTAGTGGTTAACGCCTTGGATTGTTAAGCAAGGGGTACTGGGCTCAGTTCACCGTGGAAACGATATCGATCACTGGGAATGCAGATACATCCAGCCATAAATAGGACTAAATATGCATCTTGTATTCCACTGCTAACCACCATCACTCAAATAATACTTTATTTGTCAGTGGTTTCACTTATGAAGTGATTTTATGTGACAAACGAAGTCACCTATGCCTAATTTAAACCACTAATGCCGGACTCAAAGTTAAATCACAACAACTAGTCTTTTTAAACATTGATAATCTTCATAAACTGAGTAAATTAATTTCTTTCATGGTCAAACACTTTGTTGTCAATAATTTACATTTATAATATTCCATCTTAACTTTCTATAATATTGGAAAAAAAATAAATTTTATGCCACTCTGTCTTCAGGAGAGATAACAGAGAAAATTACAGAGGACATTAAGGTAGAAATAAAAAAGTCGGAGAAGTAGAAAACTAAAATAAGGAAATGGATTGCATGAAAATTACCTACTCTGTGACACCACAACTTAATAATATTCATTACTATGTTTAAGGCTTTTTTATTATCAAAGTGAATTTCCACTTGATTTTGAGTTGACTCAGTGAACAATCAGATATTATCATCAGTGTCACATAGTGAGTTGCAAATCTTTACAAAAGGAAGCTGAAATTTGGAAAATTAACACTCTTGAAAGGTAACACGGGTGAAGATGTCAAAGCCAACCAAGATCAAGAAAGCAAAACATACAGGTGTTCATTAGTCTGAAATGTGTGAGGAGATCTACAGTCCCCACTCAGCACTACGAACAACATCAAAATTCCGTTTAAGAATAATGTGTAGTCAATGGTTTTGTATGACTAGGCAAAAAATACTTCAAAAGCATTTCCAACAGACTACTGCAGACATCTGTCCAAATCTGACTTCACTCGATACTGAGAATCATATGAGTGAAAAGGAATATATTTCTTCGCTCATTTTGTTTTTTTCTAAATGCGTAAATGGGAATTTGGCTAAAAACCGATTGCCCAACGAATATGCAGAAGGAAATATTATATTAATGAATAACTGGGATGAGTAGTTGCATACTACTGATACCAGTAGTGCAGACCAAATAGTGTGATCTGAATAACTTGTTTTCAGAAGGAAACTACAATGGAATTTCACCATTTAAACTGTGTAGATTGCAAATCGCCAACCCATTTCCAATTTGTGAATTTGAAATAGAGATGGTTCGGGTATACGCTGAGGAAAGTATTGATTGTCATCAAAAGCCGGATCCCCGAGTGAAACCCGAATGTGCAGCAACAAGTTGGGCATCCAAGTGTAACATGAAGATCGTGTACATAGTGAATGAAAACTTGTGAGTAGTCATGGAACTAGCTGAAAATAACATCAGAAGATAGAGTACAGTTGGGATGTGCTGTTGATGCTCTATATTCAACTAGGAACTCAAGGAACTAATAATTATAAATCTTATAGATATAAATGTATATATATATATATATTGGCATATACTATAGACTACCACATGTACCCTTTAGGTTAGTGACTAAATGCTAGGAGATCAAAGAATATGATTTACTGACATAACGTTCTGTTTGATGCGATTTACTCGAAACCCAAATTTTTCTAATCTATGGAGTTTTATGAGTCAAATTATATGGTGCGTTAAATTTTGAATATATTTTAGAAGTTAATCTCTTTGAACACTACCAATCAAATGAAAAAAATATACATTTTCTACAGGAGGTCAGTCATGAAACTAAATAACTCAGTGGTAACGTTTCTAATCGTAGTACTGTGTGATGAGTTCGAATTTCGGAGAGGATACTAGTTCCTTCAGAGTTGCAGATACGTCTCGCTGACCAACCAACAATCAAGAAACCTAAGTCCGCTAGCTGCCGTCCGATAACCTCTAAACAGATTTACAGATTTACCCATTGCTTCATGAAACATTTCTGTAGATATTCTGTGTATTAATTTATAAACTAACAAGTTGAATCTTATGTCATTTCACTCATATGATGTGATGAAATATCTCAGAAAATAAAATTATAGGAATATATGTATATATACATATGTTTGAACGGTAGACTTAGGTTCCACCGAATAAAATTTTCACATTTTACTATATATAATCTTAAAATCCTGTTGTTTGTAAAATTAAATTCGCTGATTCATACAATAAAATCAATAAGAATTGTGCATCTGAAGACGACAGATATTAAAATTAAAGACGATTATTATTATTATGGCTCGGATATATATATATATATTCGAGCCAGAAGACGAAATTATAGAAAAGAATATTCTTTGCTCTATTTGTTTGTAAATGTCTGAATTACTGAGAAATTGTGATGCTTTAATCATTCTGTGATATCTAATACTTTTATTATTCATAAATATGCTTAATCCTTTTTATGCAGAATTTAGGTAATGTTGTCTGATATAGCTACTCGAAAACGGTGATGTTCTGTGAGAACATAGAATACCAGAAAAATAAACCACAGATGATTTCATATTTTGTCTTTCTTCCGCCTACCGAATGATAAAAAATATGTAAGTTAAATCGGATAACTTATTACCTTATCCATACAAAAAGAAACTGAGACACAGATCTTATCTATTTGTACGTTTTGATGTAAGGGGGGTTAAAAACACAAAAAAGCATGTAGATTTACTTAGAAATTGGCGCATACGAACATCATTTCAATGGAATTACACTTAGCAGCAATAACAGTAGAACGGGAAGAAGAATTCAACAGAAATCAAATATTAAAGGAAAAATCGATAGACTAATTAAACGAAGGTTAATCAAATTATCCAAAATTTTGATGATAAAAGAAAGTTAAGTATATTGGAGTTATTACACCAAGCGTCTTCATCCACTAATCATAAAGATCTATCAATAACACACTAACAGCTATGCATATCAGTAGAAACAGGTTGACAGTAACAGTCATAAAAGATAAAAGCACAAACACATTTGATCGAAAAATGCAGAAAACAAAAATTCCCTTGAAAATATTATACATCAACGGATTACATTTGCATAATGCAAAGGAAATAATTATCAGACTTTTCACTAATGAAGGCATGAAATGATTATCTTGTTAAAGAAACTTATATTTACAAATAAGACATATGAAGTCTGATGATTTTGATAGAACAATATACGTAATTTAATAACTCAACAGCACTCTGTAATCAGAGTACTACCATATGAATATTTATTGCATCCAAAGCAACACATCTGTACTGTGTACATTTTGTAGTCTCTCGGCAGTTTTATTTTATTTTTCTATTAATTAATAGGTCTGACTACAGTTTATGATTTGCAGTTTATTAATTTGGGTTTCTCTCCTCATATTTCAGTTTCATATACGAATTAAGCTAAATGACGTCAAATTTTATTTCCGTCAGAGATCCACTAATTCATATTTCAGTGGATATGTAACCTAACCCTTAAATATTAGCTACTACAAACGCATGTTAATTGCTTGAAACATTTTAAAAGTAATGTTATATTATTGATGGAAAGATTTAAGATAACTTGGAGACTAAATTAGAATATAATAAGATGATTAATAAAGCTAAAAGGGAATCTTGAGTTAAGGTAGAATCTATGGTAAAGAATATCCAGTAATCTGGTTCGAATTATACTCTAACTCAGAATTTAAGTTCATCTTTGATGATGGTCCCGTTACACTCACTTTTGGCTTGTTAAACTGAATTACGCTAAAAGATTATCATTAAAAAGTACTGCGGTACTCAAATTACATAATATCACAAGTATTTAACGGCGTAAACTGACATGACTCCATGGCCTATTGGTCTAGGCGGTCGATTCTCTGCTAATGGGTCATGGGTGAGAACTTTTGTCATGCCTACTAGGCTTTGGGCAGGTAGTACCACCGCCACTTTTTATTGTTAACTTCTAAGTGTATTAGCATTATCCTCGTCCGTTAAACAACGAGATTATGTAAATAATTAACTTACCGAAAATGAGTTACAAGTGATTGACTTGAAGGTTGAGATTGTGTAGGAAGACCTTGTGAATGCTGTCGTTGGTGTTGTATACCATTGGAGGATTGTAGTTGTTCACGTGCTTGATGTGAATGTTGGTGATGAGAATAAGGTAACTGATTTGGATGAGATCTATGAGCAACTCCAAGAGACTGATTATTATTGTTGTTATTTGTGGCAGAATTGCTAACATTATTGGTTATGTTATTATTATTGTTGTTGCTGTTGTTGTTGTTATTTACAGCTTTAGCTGGTCTTAAACGATTTGGAACATTTGTACTGGCAGATGATGAATTCAATGATAGATTATGTAATGGAAGTCCAGGCGTTGATGAATTCGGTGACATAGATGAAGAAACCATTGGTGATGGAGCACCAGATTGACTTTTATTCAAATGCTCTGATGGTGATGAAGCTGGAACACCTGCTGTTGGACTGGGTACAAGTGATGGGGATATTCGATCAACCTATTATTATGAAATAAGAAACATAAGAAATAATTTATCGCCTACAAAAACTATGTGGAGAAAAACTCAAATACATACATTTACGAAGCAGAAACTAAGTTAGACTATTCGTAAAACTATATACTACTGGTAAATTGAGATGAGTAGTGCTTGCTAGCTAGATCGAAGGGATCTACACACCAGACAGCCACTTCTCTCGTTCTCTGCTAAGCTCATTAGCAGTGTACCCAGTTTGACTCAGCTCCGACAGCAAAGTCACTTCAAACCCCATTTCGGATAAGATTTTATTTTGATAAATCACACAGTGCTGTACAGTAATGTTAACTGATGACGTTTCAAACACAAATTATTGCTCATAATCATATCAAGTCACACACACACACACACAACGTTTTTGCTTCATTTACACACATCAGTAGAATTCATGTGGTGAAATTTCACCACAAACTGTGTAAATTTCGATTTAATTTTCAACTTTTGAATTTGAAAATTAGTCCAATTATGAGGATAAAGTTAATATAGATAATAACAACAGAAGTATTAATAATCCCAGATGATTTCTGCTTAACTAGTTAGAATACTGCTGCGTGATATTTACATTGGTTGTAAGTTATTCAATAAATGCAGTACTATGCAAAAATGATTTGAAAAGAATATTCGTTTATTTGTGAGTGGTAGATCAAATTCCTACGACTTATTTGTATAGTGATTTAACTGTGGAGCTACAAAAGAAACTGATAACTAAAAATTCATTAGTCTCTATCAGATTAATGTTGACAGTTTACAACATAGTTAGACAAGAAAACCAAATGAGTGTTAGTTTGTGAATATACTTATTTAGAAGTTTTATTGCAGTAATCTACTACACTGAAACATGGGCTTTCTCTTTTACAAAACTATGATATTAATGTCAAACCATTACCCTCATCGACCCTACCGGGAATCAAACCTGAGAACTTCAGGTCACGAAGCGAGCTCGTCGACCATTCAAACACTACGTGTTGGTGGTGGGTAGAATGCATGCCAGTCACATATGACTTCTGGGTTCAATTCCGAGCTGAGGCACCCCTAAATCTATATGGGCCGGCAGAAAGTTTGAAAAAGAGGGAACGTTCAGCTTAAAACTAACAACTCCACCCCGTGAAAACAGCACAAGCGCTACTAAAACTTCAAGGTTAAAAAACGCTTGAAGCCCTATGCTCCACTAGGAACGCAAACGGAATGAAAAAGGAAAAAAGAAGTCTCCTCATTGAATGAATTTGATAAACTATGTATCCAACTAAATAACAGACATAAGTAACCTAAAGAGATAGTCCCATAAAGAAGTCATACTTCGTATTCATCTTATTCCTTCATTATTTATGAAACAAATGCCGTAGAGTAAAACTGCGACTATGAGAGAAGTTTTTATTGTATTTCAAAGACAAGAGAATGTAAACTCAGTGGAAACTGTCGTAAAAAATGCATTTAAGGAATTTGACTAATTCGCTCAGTTAAAAGAATTAACTCAGGATCCATTTGTAAAACAAGTTGAATCTTAACGTATAAATATGAATGAAATTATTATTACCATCGAGTACATTTCTAAAATGGAGTAATGAAAACTATATAAATATCTAGGTGATTTAAGTATTTGAAACAAGTGGTCATTATTACAAATATCAGTAGGAAAGAAAAACTCATTTCAGCACCGATAAAAATGGACTTATTGAATATTTTTAGAAATCAATTACTGATATTTTTTAATCTATGATACTACCACTTTGAATGAGTTTCATTGATGATTTTCACCACATTAGCATCATGTGTTTTGATTATGTAGGGATTTGATCTATCTCACACGAAATTTCATCAACAAAAAAGGAACATTTGGCAGCTACCTTTACACAGTGACTGCTGGATGCTAACATGGTCATTTTGCAAACTACCGATCAAGAACTCAATCCATCATTCTCCCTCTCGGTAAGTCTTAAAGTGATCTCAGACTTTTGTCTAATATTTAGTCATTTTCATTAGTGGGTTCATGATGAGGTGAATCGATTCCTTGCAAACTGAATAAGGTTCCAAAATTATCACTGCCGAAAACTTTTACTGTTGTCACTACAGTAAAACATCGTATCCCTGATCAAGCGAGGTCAATTTCTTCCGTTGTTATCATTTTTTTTATAAGAAATTTATTTTGAATTAGCATAGATTCATGCTGTACTTTGTTGTTGTCTGTTGTTAAGAAATAACAAGTTCAACATTTCTAATACTTTCGAAAACATATATATATATATATTGATTGCTGAGAGATTTTCAGCTAACACTTTAATAGCAATCAAAAGTGGTTCAACAAAACTGTATACACATGTACATGTATGTGCACATTAGAGCCTATAGTGTTAAAAAGTGAGGTGCTGATTTGTGTTATACACAGATGCAATGGATACACGTGACAGTCATCAAGAGAATAGATTGGTACAATCTAAAAAGTAGTGTTATTAGCAGTAGTAAAAATCATACAAAATCTGAATTTAGGGACTTGGCTCCATTAAAACCAAATACTTATCGGCATTCAAATGAAAAAGACAAAAAAATTCTAGTCTCTAACTATAAATATGAATCCAGTTATCAGTGTAGATATCAATAATGCAGGGTAGCAGTTTGTTGAAGGTTTATTCACTATTTATTTAGTAACCTCTTTCACAAAAAGATGACTGTCAAGATCGAACTAGGAGAGTCTTATTTTAAAACTTATTATTATGACTGTTCTTCATGCACACACACACACTTTCTCGTTGTTAGTTGCAGTAAAACCAAATAGAAGAAATAAAAATCATTGTGCTACTGTAAAAAAAATTCCTCAAATTGGTGCGTACAAACATCTAGGAAGTGTCCAACTCAAGACCATCAAGTCCTAATTTGAACAGGTTACCATTTAGTCAATCAAATGAAATTCAGTAAACCCTAATTTTAAGTTTTTGTCAATTCACGGAATATTATTATTATTATTCCCTGTGGTTCCAGGTGGAACATAACATTTCAACAGCACATCTCTATTTTATCCTATTCCTTCTAGTCCTTTCATTTCCTCCTCTTATTCACGTCACCGTTAGCCCTACGCCAGACTTGTCGTTTCCTATTTGGGTTCTACTCTATGACCTGGTGCATAGTGTCACTCAACAGTCCCTTCAGTGTGTGTCAAGTTCATCTTCATTTGCTTTTGCATATTTGTTGGACAGTATGTTCTTGTTTGGTTTATCACCAGAATTCCTTGTTGCAAATCCTTTCTAGCACCATCGTAATCTCATATCGCGGGTGAATAATGATCCTTACAACCTATCAACTCAAGTACTTAGTATTCTGGAGAACACTTCCTGAAATCAGTCATTAATAGGCATTGAATCGGAATGAAACTATCAGATTTTTGGGGATTTAATGAAAAATTTCACACTGAGAAGAGTCATCTATGTAGTACTTTTTGGTTCTCAACGGATCTCTGCCTTTTAGTTGCAGGCTCTTTTGATCTGTTTTAAATAACAACCCTTATGATGCACAGTTGGAAGAAAGGTGAATACTTTAACTAGCATTGTGTCAGTGATTAACAACTTCGTTGAATTTTACCTGAGTAACTGAACAGTTTGTCTCTCTAAAAGTAAATGATTTAATAGATGTGTTTTTTGCTAATAATTTCAGTGATACTTCAGCCATAATTAGTATTACAGTTCATATCAGGAAAGTTCACGGGGGTTACATATTAAACCAGTTTTCAAGATACTAGGGGTTAACCAATGAAAAGTATAGATCCATTAATTCAAAAGTGAACAACAGGGAAATAAATCTATCCAATTTTACGCTTCGAAATCATGTAAGTTATGCTGATTCTCATTTATATAATATTATTTTCTTTCACACCCTTTTTTGTTTATCTTAATATTATTATTATCTTATTTCTGTTAACTTCCTTTTTTCTCTTATGTTTCATTCCTCTTTGGTTTTTTCATTTGAATTTGAATGAAAAGAAGTGAACAGTGATATTTCCACCATGACTGAGAGTATCTTTCTTTTCATTTACTATAGCGGCCGTTTAACAACCATAATTTTTTGATTGAATGTTTTCATTTTCTCAAGGTTTATTTTTAGGACTGACTTGCTGGGTTTATTCTGATACTATAATCAATATTCAGCAGTCTTTGTGAGGAACTTACATGTCACCAAAAATGGATCAATTCAGTTTTGAAAATCATAGTGGGGAAACAGGGAATTTTCACTAAAAACCTCCTTAGTTTGACTATGATAATTCTTCATAAATTTCACATAAGTGATGTTACTGAAAAGTGTTTCAATTGCACCACACATTAATAATAGGAAATAGTAGTAACATTACAAATTACTTCTTAAAAAGATGAAATGAGCAACACAAAGTGAATGGATCTAACTACAGTTGAACTATATTCGTTTTCTTTTGGGCTAGAGAGTATATTTTCCACAGAAAATACAATTATAACATAAATTCAACCCTATGTCGTGATACACTAGCATAGGCCCAAGGGATCTGAAAATTTTATAAGGGCAAAATTTCACATCTTTTACTTGAAAAAAGTGGAACAGAAATGAAAGTAATATTGAAATAAGCGAATGAAATTATTTAAGTCAATTTTAAAAATAACGAATCTACTGTCTATACAAGAGAAAGACAAAGAGGTTTTTTGGCGTAGTTGTGCTGTCTGAGCTGGATAGTTTAGTAAGACAGTGAAAGTTTCGCAGTTAAATCATCCAGCCGACAGAGTACAACTACTCCAAAATCATCCACCTCAGCTACAAATCTTAGCTATTATATCTCGATAGAGAAGTGACTATATGAACTTACCCCATAAGTTTAAAATGAATCATTCACTCAGAAAAGAAGATATTTCAATTCTCGATGGATATCAGATTTTAAAAATCCCATGTGAAAGAGGCTGTGTCTTTTTAATTTGGCACCAAGGAAAGCAAAAGGTTAAGACGGATAGAGGCCA